AGCTGCATGAAATCATGCTATTGCTGAAAACCAGTGGCAAAATCTCTGGTTTAACCCACAAAGTAATACCTTACTTGAGCTACAACTTGCCACTTTCCATCCTTAGCAGAGCTCGGAGCCTCACAGACAAGGCACTGAAGAAACATAGACATTAAAATTACACATGCAAAGCAATGTGAGTTTTTCCCTGACTACAGCATGCTCTGAAAAAGATCCATAATCAGATAGCTCTATAAATGCAACAGACATCCAAATATTCAGCAGAGGAGCAGCCCTGAGTATCAGTTTCTGCTGTCTCTGACACTGATGGCTGTGCAGAGCATGACTGATGCTGTGGCACTTTGGTATGCTTGCTTTACCATTGCTTTGTCCCCCAGCAGTCCTTGCTTCTTTTTTTTTGTCTCCATGTCTCTATTTCTGACCATAACTACAGTAATTTATTCCCTTTTGGGGTGGGTAAATACCAGTCTGCTATGTAAGATGGATACTGTGAGTAAGACGGGTCCACGCATACAGTACTGAGTTGGCACTCTCTTGCTTCCACTGCCTGATTTTGCAAGTATGTGTTTCCCAGCAGTGATGGGTATTAAAAAAAAAAACACCAATAAAAGAAGGCTTTTCTCCCTCTTACATTTTCATTAGTGCTTTGTGTAAGGTTTTTGCTAGCTGGCATGTCTCCTCTGTGAGAGTCTGGGCTTCAGGGAGTGTCTTTTCCAATATTCTGGTGTCTCTAATTGCGTTATGTTGGACTTTTTAGCTGAAATTAGCACTTGATAAGGTGGAGGCCAGTTTTTTGTTTTTTCTATTAAGTTCATGTTCATTCCTCATGGGGAGGAAAGTAGTAGGTGCTTTCAAGTAACTCACTTTGTTAGAAGATCTGAACCTTACAGAAAGCATATCACAAAAGCAAAAGCCAAAAGATACATTCTCATGATGTTAGCCATGTAAAAGCTCAGACACTGCATAATTCTGTCTTCACAAACATGGAGCTGTATTTTCCAGCAGTCTGCTGGTAGGAGAAACTCCTCATGTGCATAAGAGAGCAAAAGCTTTGTCTCCATTGCTTCACCTTGACGTTGCTTCACTGTGCCACACTCACTGAGCTCAGTGCACGCATCCACACAGCCTTAAATTATACCAACACCTTGCAAAGCAGCACACCTTTGGAGACAGGCATCAGAGCAGGTACAAGCTAAAAACCCCAATCTATTTCATATCTGGAAGGGATATTTGAAATTAAGGCAGCAATATCCCAACTTTGCAGAAGTGCACATAAATTGCTCTTTTGCCTCACTATCAAACCTGGATGATGATGATAATAAATAGTAGTAACAGTGTAGGTCAATCTGAACTGAAAATACCTGTATTTTTACAACAACAAAACCTAAATGTACAGTAACAGAATAACTAAACAAAAAATACGCTTGGAAAATACCAAACATTTCATTAATCCTGAAATAATGTTATAAAACTTTAAATATTTTGAAAACTTTCAGAACAATCACATTAGAAATATCTATAAAACTTAATGGTTAAGACTTCTGAACACTTCTGAAAGAGTTGAAAGTTAGCAAGATTTTATTTTTTAGTTGTGGAGGTCTAAAGTTATTTGCCAAATCCAGTCTGCACCTGTGAACTGTTCTGATCCCTCGGAAGATGCATTATTTTGGTGAAAAAATAATTTAGCAGAAAACCCTCAGTCAAGCTCCATTATCAGCTTTGTAAGAGCTGATTCAAAGCACAGAACCTAAACATCCAGATGAGAGAAGAGTTTGCAGCCAAAGCTCCTTAGTACTGGCAGAGCTGATCAACAATGAGATATTGCAACATACTCCATGATCTCAACCTAACACTGAATGGAAAGATATGAAAATTTTCATGAAGAGATGAAGAAAGTATTGTTCAAAATACATTAACCCAGGGACTTGGGCACTCAAAGGATGCAGGAGATCTAAATCAGGATTTCTTCCCCCTACTTCAGAGCAGAATCTTGGACTTCTCTCATATCCCACTATCCTCACAACTGGCTTTCATCAGAAGGGAAGGAGAAACACTCTTCCATTCCATGCATCTTCTAAAAAAGTCAGCAATGAAACACTGCTCCCCAGCCACACTTTGTTCTAGTGATTCTCACTGCCTTGTGGTTTGGATTCAAGGTCAAGAGCTTACAGAAAACTCATGGATTGCCTTTCCCCCATAAACCATAAAGGCATCTACAGATTCTGTGGAGAATTACAGAATCACTCATGAAAGTGATGAGCTCCATAGCTCACACACATTATCTGGAAATCACTGACCTCAATCTCAATGGCTCTCTTTGGAGACATGCCACTAAACAGCCTCTGGGGCAGTGAAAAACTATCCTGCAGCAAGGCATTGCCCCAGGATGTAGGAAACCTGTCTCCACAATGCTGAGCCAGATGGTTCATTTTCTGTAATCATTTGCACTGCCACAACAGAAAGAGACTAAAGACAGGACACACACACACACCTGCACAGAGAAACCATAAAGCCCTAATATTTTGTGTCCTACTCCTTAGAACAGGCTATATAAATAGTCTCTGTGAATATGGAACTATTAAGGGAATTTAGATAATGAGAGACACAGCAATATTCCCCTGAGACACAGAAGTCTGTGGGCCTGTCAGGACTTAGCTTCAGAAATTCAGAATGAAGGGAGTACCTGAGACTGTTCTCTTCTTGACCCATTCTCAAACACAAAGACACAGTCAGAGAATGGGAAGGAATCCCATATTTCCCAGAAAGCGGGATTGATACAGCCCTGTACCAACATGGAAAATGATTCAGCACTCTAGGATCTGCCCTAGGCCTATCTTTTATGTGAAAATCCCAACGCTTTCCCTGTTGTGTTCCATTATGTACTTACCAATCCCACAGTATTTATCTGGAGAGGCTCGCTTTGATGTCTTCTGCCCACAAGTCCTAATGTCCTTCAGTTTCACCCTCACAATGTCCCAGATCTGCCTTCTTTCAGGCAAGGTTTACTACAAAAATGTATGCTGACTTTCTGCCAAGCAGCATGAGGCTACCCTCAGTGTCTGAGCAAAGTACACTGGGCAGGTACCCAGCATGGAAACAAAGTAGTGACCCAGAAATCTGCACTCTTCTGTCAACTTCTGTTGAACAACTGCATTCAACAAAAGAGTAGCTGAAGGAGCAGCATAAAGAGGGGGAGGAAAAAGAGGTTCTAGCTTCACTTTTTTTGGGAAGGCACAGGGAACAATGTCTGAAACCAATGCAAGCAGCACACAGCAATGTGCCTACCCTCTATACAGATACAAGTCCTCCTGCCTGCCCAGCTGAGTTATTATGTCCTGCATGTTCCAGGAGGACCTCATCTAAATGCTCAATTGGAAACTGTCCTTTGCTGCAGTTTGTGGCATCTCCCTATCCATGTTAAACTGATCTGAATATCACACAAATGCCTATCAGCACAGGGAATATAGAGCACTTGCCACCAGCAGAAGGTAGATATTACACCAGCGTTTCCTGCATGGGAGAGTTTTATGCCTTACACTGTACATTAGATAAATATAAGTTCCTATGTTAGCTTTCATTGCAGAATACTGATGCTTTCAAAAAAACCAACAAACCCCCAAATCGCAAGCACTTCACAAATGTCTTCATCACAGGGAAAATACGCTTTGTACACTTAAACCCACAAACACTAAAAGTACTACTGCACACCCTTGCAAACTGTAACCGGTTGAAGTTACGCATTACTCTGATTTTCCCAGGGGCAACAACTATCAGAACACAGTGAGGCACATCTTCTGTTTTGTTTCTCTTCAAAAGGCTTTTGTAAACCCTTCCAATTTTCTGTTGTCAGAATGGTTTTCACAGGACTCTGCAATTGTCTCATATTTCTCCATGGAAGAACAGTCCTCAGATCTCCCAAACAGTACGGTGAATACCATTCATGCTTAAGGTTTTCCCAGGCCAGAGAGGCAGAAACAGCCCACAATATGCTCCAGCCCAGGGATAAGATACAGTGCATCAGCCCACATCAGCAACAGCCCATACTGTGACTGAGAGGAGACATGTTAAATGTAACCAAATTCACTGTTTCTGCATAGAAACAGGTATTATGCTGTTATTCATTTTCACTGGCAGTGTAATGGATTTAAACACTACAGATATCATAGGCAGAGATAAAGATGACCATTTATCACAAAGGCTAATGATGCCTAGGGTGGCTCTGGTATGTCCACTCATGGCAATATTTAAAGCCAGATTAGTCAAATAGCTGTCAAGATTGGTTTAGGTATCATTTCTTGCTTTAGGCCAGACAAACAACCTCTCCAAACTCCTTACAGCTCTAGTTCTACAAGCCTTTAACCTGGTTAATAGCATATTTTGGGAAACAAAACGGGTGCAGAGCACATGCTAAAGCCACTTTCTCCCGCCTGAACAGAATAATTCAGGAAAAGGCCTAGACTTCTGCAAATGTTTGACTCCCCAGATCTCTTGAGAATGCCTGCTCCTGTCCTTTCCAGTGAAGTTTCCAGTTCCTAGATAAACATAGAGATAACCTAGGGACAAACACAAGCAGTGCAGTGCACTCTCATTTATGAAAAAGTAATGTTTACCTTTTCTAGCAAAACATTTATATACGCAGTGAGGCACCGGGTCAGCCACAGGATTCCTGCAGCCCGTGACTAACAATTTGTGCTGAGATAATGGCATTTAATCAGTAATATATGGGTTACTCTTAAAAACTAACATCTCCTGCTCAAGGCACAAAAGCTGAAGGTGTTACTGAAAAAAAAACACAAACCACCAATAAATTGCTCCTTATATATAGATATAGGGGATTTCTAGAAAATAGGGTGAAGGACATGACTGGTCTTAAATCAGTTGTATAGATCAGATGATCAGCTCACTTACAAAGCCAACATCCAAAGCATACTCACTCCTGTGCTAAGAGCTGATTTCAGCATACAATGTCTCCTTATGCAAACAGTTCAAAACCACCCAGAACTGCTATTTCTTATAACTAAGCTTACTATAAGAACCTATTGCTGCGTGAAAAACAGTGGAACGTGGGTGACTCACGCCTGCATGTTTTCTCAGAAATCTTTGTCAGTCTTGTAGAAATAAATCTTCTTAAAAGAGTCACCTAAATTGTTCGCAAAATATGCATGCAAAAAGAGCAGGACAGTGGAAATGTATGTCCAGACAGGTACAAGAGTCACTAGACGATGTTCTACTTACCTACAGCACAGACTTACTGATTAACATGGGTCCCTTCTGTACGTATGTCTTACACATGCTTATTTTATTGAATGCCTTGAATAAGGATCCAAACTGTAGAATAATGCTTGCTGTTTGCATAGCAGATGATCTCAAGTGAACTACAAATGTAAGTTTAAAAGTACAGAGGTCAGCACAGGAGAGAATGGGAGAATTCAAGGTCACACAAGAAAGTTTGCAACTGCAACAAGATTAACATCCCTCCAACTCTGGTGTGTTAAACATAAATCCATTCTTCATCTCAAGAGTCTGCTACAGAGAAAATTATAGATCTATAGTAAAACTGTAAAAGCAGCCTACACACAAGATGAAAAGTGGGACTGCTAAAATTACTTTCAGACCATAGCAGAAACTAAGAGCTAGGAAATAAGTATTAAGCATGACAACAGGCATATTCACAATGACTGCAGCAATCACTAGACCATCAAAATAGAATGCAGGAAAAAAATTGAGGCCACCAGCAATTAGCTAAAGGAGGAACTTACCATGCTTTCGTGTATGTGTACTTCAAAAATGTTTTAAACACATTTATGTTATCAGCAAAAATTTTCTCCATCCACATTTCAATATATTTTAGTTCAGTAAAGTTCACTGAAAAAGAAGAATCAACTTACTCAGGTTATTGATGTGCTCAAGAGAAAGAGTCTCTCCAAGTACAGGATTCTTGGTTCTCTTCCCACTTTTGCCATATCCATTTGGTGTGGCTTCAGGCAAAAGATACTCTGCCTCTCTAAAATAGAGATGATAACATGTGATGATACCAACCTTGTTCTTGATCCTTATGCAGTCACACTGTAAATTCTTCAGAGAGGTAGGACTGGTTTCTCACAAAATGTTTTACAGTGCCTAGAACAAGACTGCTAACAGCTTCAGCTGTAAAAATCAGCAGTTTTGACAATCTGATTCAAAATCTGTATTCCCTTTCAGTTTGTCAGGCTTCACTTTCAATGCACATAGGATTTCATGTTAACCTGGTTCACTGGTTGTCCATGGAAAACAAAACCAACAAAATATCCTTTACTATAGTTCATGAAATGGAAAATGCGTCAATCTTCCCACACCCAACACGCTTCCTTTGTGGAATGAGGGTGCATGTAAGATTTGTTCAGCATGACCCTTAGAGGGAAGCATTTTTAGAACACTTCCTTAAATAAGGGAAACTTTAGTTGACACGGAAGGTGCTGAAAACGTGACATTCTTCAGTGCAGGGCCTTCTCCTCACAAAGACAACATGCCAATACTGTCAGAGCAAAGCGGCTGCAGAAATGGTGCTACAGTCTCCCCCCCTACAAACGATTTAAAAAGGTGACTGGTTTCAGCTTAATTGTTATCAAAAAGGAAAGAAAGAGTTTAAATTCAAGAAGACACCTCACAGGTGCTTTTAACTCTCCTAGTTCTGTGGTTCCTTTTAATTCTTCCCATATTTGAGCCAAAGAGCCTGAGCTGTTCTCAGACAATTTATTTTCAGGACCTTCTGTATCCATGACCAAATGGTGGAAATCTGTTAAAATGCTCCATTAGAGGTTTGCATGTGTTTTGAAAAGGATACCTCACAAAACGGCAGTGACACAGGGTGGGAGGGAATTCAGTGATACTTTCAAAAGGCAGGTCAAAAACACTATCTAGGAGAAAAGATTTAACATCTCAGCAAACCCATGTCCCAGCACCCACGCACATCTCCCTCATGACCTTGCCACCATCTCTGTTACCTCTCATCTGTGTCAGCCCTTGTATTCCGCTGGTGCTCAGGTCTCCTTAAGTTGAGCTCTGATGCTGTTAGCCTCAGCAGCTGCTTCCTCACCCCAGTGCCTGAAGTGATCAGTGTCAATAAAAATCTAAACCAGAGAAAGTGAAACAAAACTCAAGAAAAGGCTTCAAATAAAAGGAGTGATGATTTCCTGCGACATTCAAGTGACTTGAAAAGTAAAGCACCTGGGAGGCAAACAGAGAATGAATGGAATGAAAAGGAATTGATGGAAAGCTGAAGAGGAGCCTAATCATTCAGGAAAGGTGTGCGATGGATGTTTCCACATGCTTTTTAGGTAGTCAAGGAAAGAGTTTTTATCTGTCTGATGAATAAGGCTGTTCACTCACTGAACTTCAGTCTTAGAGTTGCCAGGTTTATGATACTCTGATTTCTACTGGTCTCTGACTGCAGTGAGGACTTTTTATGGGATGGAGTCATGCTTGTTCAGGTCATTCAGTGGTAACAGATCATTCTCAAAGTGTCCATTTGTAACTGGAATATTTCAGAGAAAAATGGATCCTAAAACCACAATTTGCTTTGGACTGATGCCTTAAGGATCATTTACTTTTTTAGAGAAGCACCTTTGGTTCATCAGTATGGTATCTGAGTGCCTCCTGAACAGACACTAAGTTTTGTTCTACCAACAGGAACCCCCTTTGGCACATAAGCAGCTGGAGCGGCTGTTCCAGTGCTGGGGTTTCTGTGAGCCTAAGTCAAGATGGGTTTATATGTGACAGAATTTATAGGGCCTATCACGTTAATGTTTTGAGAAAATAACATTATTTAATGTTACTCTTCCCACTCCTTGCTGTAGCAGTTAGGTGGAAAAAGATGATTGATGCCTGGGATTCAGAGCAAAGATAATGATAAATAATGCAAGAAATGTAACTCAGCACTGAGTAGGTTAGTGGTTTTATCTTTCATTTATCAGAACTCCTACAGAAATGTTCCTTTTTGGTTATATGGTAATATATGGTAATATATGGTTATATGGTAACCTTTTTGATTATAATTATGCTGGGCAATATCTTCACCAGGTAGGTTGTACAGAAGTGCAATTGTAATTCTGTAAAAGAACAAAAGAGAGTTACTCTGTTAGATTTATGCTTTGACACACAGATGCCAAAGCAAAGTGTGTGTGCTTGTCTAAGTATGTATCTGAATGTGTGTATACATACACACAGGAACACACATAAATGCATGAAACTAACATTAATTGGATGTTTTTCATCTGTTCCTATTTGAAAAGTGTATTGATGATACATACTCTTCTGTGCAGAATCTAAAGAAAAAGGTTTTGCTCTTTATAACAAAACAAATTCAACAAGATAGGCTATCTCAATTTTAATCAAAAGAAAGTCAAATTTATTTTCTTGCCAACCCAAGTTGCAAAACTGTAAAGCTCCAGACCTCCACCTCTTACTTGACTTTGAATACAGAGCAGCTGATGTGTGACCAGTTTCTCTCTCTTATCCTTTTTCACATTAATGTAACTTACACCTCCAGGGCTAAGACTAGGATGACTCTTCTCCTTTCTCTAAACACACAACTGCATTCTACCATCTGAGCTACAGAAGGGCTGGCACACAGCACAACAGGTAGAAATAGTTCTCCAGTCTCTAAAAGACCGTACTCTGTTGCTGTCCTTCCCCCACCGCCATCTCTTACCTGGAAAAGTAGTTTCTGCATCACAAAGGTTTGCCTTAGTGAAGTGCTTACAAAAATGGTACCTAATTAAAGAGTCCTTATGTGAGTAATAATTAACTCTGCTCTTGACCTCCCTTTGATTCATACCCAGTCTAGTCAGTCAAACTACTTTTTAATTCCACGTCATTTCTTCCCAACAGAAGAGTACTGAAATCTTACTTGCTGGTCACTGTGACTGGTCCAAGGATATGCAGAGTGGACAACAATCACCATCAATACAAAGAAGTAAAAACTAAATATAACTTTTCCTTCATTTGAGTCATAAAAAACCTTACTCAACCTCTTACTCAGTAAGCTGTTGTAGCTTACTCGAGCTACAACGTGACAGAAAAATCTCCACAAGGAAGCTTCACGCTTGTGTAACCCGTTTGCTTTTGGTTGACTCTTTCCAGATGTTTCTTTATCCCAAACATCTCAGAATTTTTCTGAAGAATTTGCAGAAGCTGCATAACAGCTTAAAACAGCAGCTCCAAGAATCCAATTTGGTAAAATTGATGTCACATACCAACCTGATTTGAGAAGTGAATTTAATATTCAAGAGTTTCCTACTGTGAATTTTTTTTTGTGGATGGCAGCAGGGAAGATCCCATAGACTGCAAAGGTAAACTGTCTCATGCACTGATAAGATAATGATACGTAACAGCAGGATGTACCTATATTATGCTGCTGAGAAGAAAAATATAGATACTCAGAGAATATGCAAGGTAGACAACTGGTTTTGCCCATTATTTAAAATGTACAATTACATCTGTACCAATGCAATAACTTTGATTTTAATTAATCTTCCAGGTGTATAGCTGAACATGCTTTGCGATGTTTAGTTTGCTTAGCCAAATTAATTGCTGGTGTAATTCCACCAAGTACAGAGAATCTCCGCAAGAAGATGGCTTACTCCCATTTACACAGTAAACCTAAATAAATGAGTTATACCAAACAAGAATGTGGTCCCAAACCTGCTCCATTTGCTCTTCTAGTTCACAGACAGTGCACCTATGGCAGTAGGGTGGAGCAATACTCTTGTGCATCTGACAACGAACCATGAATTCACAAGGTTCTTTAATATACCTCCTAAGTTCCTAGGTATACTTCCTACATTAATATATTTCCTACACATACTTCCTAAGCCAAGGAAAATAATTTTGCAATTTAGCCATCAGAGGGAGCTCATATGTGGCTCAGAAAACCCATGGAATTATTTGAAGCCTTTTATAAAAACTTATTAAGCAAAGACAATAGGACTGAGCAATCCTGGGAAATCCAGGCCTTATGGAGACTTTTTCTTTCACTAAAAGTATACAAGAAAGATTTTTTTTTTTTATTTTTCCCTAAATTAATGAATTTTTTCAGAGTTGACAAAAATGGCAGGACGCCAAGCATCTGTCAGTGTGCTCTGAGCAGACACAGTTGCATCACAAGTTTAATATAGCTAACAAAAAAAGAAACTTGGAGTTTGCCTCCTGAGCCTGTACACAACCAAGTGCTCTGATTTCTTTAACTGCTGAGCCCCCCGTGGCTGCTGCTGCTGAAAGCTGATCTTCAGTATTTTTAGTAACTTGCTCCTCATTGCTATTTCTTACCAAGTTCCCACCACTTGTGCGAACAGCAGCTTCTTCACCCATGCCACAAAAGAGTGATTTGCCACACTAAACTTTTATTAGAGGTGCTGCTACATAAGAGCAAAAGCACCTACCTTCAGTCTTTGATTGTATCTATAGCATTGACAAGAAAACCTCTTTTAAACCAGTAAACCAATTTGACAGGTTCACTAGCAAGAACCAGTGAACACAGAGTATTGGTCACCCTTCAGCAGAGAGCTGCTAGTTAAGACACACTATCAAGATATTAGGAAACTGGCTTCTGCTCTGTGATTTGTAAAAGACAGCATCAACCATTCAGATGTACCACCAATAATGACTTAAACTACACTTTGTTGACTGGTAAATGCTTATGTACAATAACTAGTAAAATCTGACCTATGGCATATTACTTTAAAACCACTGCTAATTGGCAACTGAAAACATGCAGTGACTGCCCAGTGACTTCTTATATAGAGCTTGGTATATACTTCATACCACAAAAAAGACAACCCTGCAGACTGCACTTAAATCAAGAAATTAACTCAAATATTTTACAGCAGAGGGAGTTTTTAAATGGTTGTCCTGCAATGGACAGAGTGTGAAAGCCAAACCCTATGCTTTGTAAAATCATCATTTACAACTCCAAAGCCAGAATCTGGCCAGTAGAAACAAGCTACACAGGCTGTTTAAAGCAACTCAATAGAAAGATTAACCACATGAAAAATATGCTGAGGGGTTGTACCACTGACATAAGCTGCAAGACCTCAAATCTTCATGTGAGATAGCAGAAGTCAAGCACTATGTGGCCACTAGATACTGCTGTGTGCTTTGCTCTGGAGCCTGTTCACCCCAGAGCAGATGCCTGCCAGCTTAATCTTAAAAAAAACATGGTTTAAGCTAGCTGCAGTGCAGCCTGCTGCAAAATGACTTGATGGCAGTAAAATGGTCTGACTCAATTTTGATCTTGTCATAATGCTAAAATGCACAGTACCAGGACTCGCATCTTTGATAATCCACTTGTACTGTACATCTTGACTCTGGCACTTTTCACAGCATACAGACTTTTCTTACATATAACTTCCATTAACTCTTTGCTAGACTCAGCTCTGATCCAAGGATGTCTTACTCACAGAAATGAAAAGGCTACTTTACAGCTGAGATTTTAATCTCCTCAGACCAAATTTACGGCTCCAATTCCTCTGAAAACATGATAGCTACAAACTTTGAGAGAGACTCAAGATTCCTAAAACTCCTGAAAGCTTAAAGAGAACTTACCAGATAAACAGACTGTCATCTCTAGTAGCAGTAATTTGGAACAATCCAGAATTACAAGACAACTTTGACACCTCAGCTCTGTTTCTGGTGTCTAAACTGAACAGTGAAGCTGCAGCACCCCAGAGGAATTTCAACGTCTCTAAGCCTATCAGATCCCTTCTACAGCACTGAAGGAGCAATTCTGACACCTAATTTAATTGAAGAAACAGTTCAATAAAATCTGCAATTGGTTTGAAGCCATTTTGGATTAAACCTCAGGTCAATAGCTCTTTATAGCTGACTGTGATTTTGGGACACAGGAAATCTTGCTGAACTGGTTCTCTACTTGTCTAAATTTCCTCATCTCTATTCTCCATATGTGATTAAGCAGCTAATTGGACATACAGTCATTTACAGAGGTCCCAGAAAACACAGCACTGATCTACCATTAATATTCTACAGTTAGCAACAGTTTAAACAATGACTAGAATTTGAGCTTGAATTGTGATGCCACAGGCCCACCTTGAATTGGTTTTGACCCCAGTCCTAAGAAGCCCAAGTCCATTTGTATTCACCATCCTTCTGCACCCCACTACCTCCATCCTGATTGCACAGAAATTTTTGTCATTCATTTTGATGGTCATTTTAACAATCTTTACTTTCCACAGGAGTCAGGCAAGCCTCAGCCTTTATTACATGGGTGAAAAGAAGAACAGGACCTAGCACTGTTTTAATCAACTCTACTGATGAGGCTGAAGCCATCATAAATGCTGACGATTTGGCAGTGACTGGCTTTTTTAAGGTAATTCACTGGAAAACTCAAAAGGCTGGTTTGTTTCAACTTTGGGATATACTGCTTGCTATCGTCACCACACATCCAAAAGACCTAGAACTTG